CCATGACTGAAGATATTCTCACTAAAAACCTGGAAAAATTCTCTAGAGTACTAGGTGAAGATATGGCCGCAAACACGAAAGAGTTAAAACAAGAATTTAAAATGATACGAGTTAAATTAGCTACTATGGAGGACAACTTTATCAAATTAGACAATAAATATAAGCTTTGCCAAGAAGAGATAACCGAAATGAAAAATAAAATAGGAGCACTGGAAGCTAAAGTCTGCGACATTGAAGACAGATCTAGAAGAGCAAACATCAGAATCCGACATATTCCAGAAGAAATCTCCAATGAAAATCTGGAGAGTTTCCTTCTGGAGTTCTTAAAAAATTAAATTCTGGGTGGAGCTCCACATGACCATTCAATGGATCGTCGACACCGACTACCCAGACCTCAGAATGCTCCGGAGACATACACAAGAGACGTAATGGTGAGATTTCATTCATATCAAACGAAAGAGAGTTATGGCAGCGATGAGGAATAATCCTATATAAGAAGATAAATTTAAGAATCTTTCATACTCAACAAGAATGTGGAGAAAAAGTTTTCAAGACTTGCTACCTATCCTGAGACAGAAGGACATAAGTTATAGATGAGGTTTTCCTTCAACATTAAGAGTGTCCTGGAATGGAAAGATGGTTAATTTTGCCTCTAAAGAAGCTTTGAAGAGTTGGATGGAAAAACCAAATATAATCGGAACATTTAAAGTCAATCCATGAAGAGGTTTTGAAAACTGTCCAGTACTAAACAAGGACTTCTTTTTTTTTTCTCACTTTTCTCATTCTGTAATATAGAGCATGTTGATTCATGTAAAATCTTTACTAATAGCACAGATAATAGAAATAGTAGAATATGTATGGATATGTAAAGTATGGATACTTTAACACTATAACACTATTGATAGATAACAGAAAAGGTAAGGGGAGGAAAGGAAAGGAAACAAGGGGGGGGGGAAATAGGGGAAATATGATCACAAAATTAAAATTAAAGATCACAAATATATATGAAATATGGGGTATTAATAATGATAAATTCACGATAGGAAGCCTATAATAAGGAATGATCCTCATACTAGTTTGTTTAAAGGAAATCACAAGTACAATTTATTAATTAAGTAAATAATAGGGATTAATATTTTAATTTTTTTTTTTTTATTATTTTTAAGTGCACTCCACGGAACAAACACTAGAGAAAAAAAGTATATTAACAAGGTCTTATTGGCACAAAGGTTTTATATAAGCGTTTATAAACATAATAGTACTTAATAGGATAGCACTAGACTAATTTGCCCCAAGCTGGTTCTGCAATACATACAAGGGGGTAAACTGGTAGGGTGCCGAAGTAAATAGAATAAAGGGACAGAGTATTTCTATAAAAAAAAAATTCTCTTCTTTCCTTCTCCTCTTTCTCACTCCTCCATTCTTTTCTCTCTCTTAATGAGAAATATAAGGGATACCAGAGAAGATAAGGGAAGAGAATAAATGATGAAGGCCCCGGCCATGTGTCCTTGTTGAGACACAAATACCGTTAGGAGGGTTTGTTTCAAATCTACTATCGAGAGAATGGCTCTAACCATTAAGGTTATCTTGTTGGGTGAGAGGCCATTCTGTATTTTCTGGCTTATAACCAGAATAGAAGAGTATGACTGCAATGTTAATGTTGATGTAAATGTCAATGTAGTGAAGTGTTTGTTCATGCCGATGGGAGCATTGGGAGATTTATATAAAGAATGGTTAAGATGGTATCAGTAAACACTCAGGGCCTAAATTTACAAGCAAAAAAAAACTTTGGTCTATGATTTTTTTAAGAATCAAAATGTAGAGGTTGGGTTCTTACATGAGACTCATTGGAGGTTGATAGACAATGTAAAATGGGGAGGGGCTAAATTTTCAAATGTATTTCAAGCCTCTCTTAACGATAGGAAAAAAAGAGGGGTGGCTATTATTGTGGCAAATTCTGTGAAATTTGAATTAATTTATCAATTTGCTGATACCGAAGCTAGATTCTTAATTATTGTTTGTAAATTAAATGAAATTAAATATACGCTGGTTAACACATACCTGCCTAACACCCTCCCAGTGATTACGCTTAGAGACATATTAGAACAAGCTGAATCTATAAAAACTGGAGTGTGTATTATAGCAGGAGATTTTAACTGCGTTTTGGATCCAATCTTGGATAAGAAGCTTAGTAATAATTTAAAAACTAATGGCTCTGTAATAAAAATGGCCAAATCCCTAAAGAAGCTATTGAATGAATTTGATTTTTTTGATCTATGGAGATCTTCCTAACCGGAGAGACACGATTATACTTTTTTTTCTAGTGTACACTACTCATATTCGCGTATTGATATGGTGTGGGGTAACGCAATAGCTTTAGAAAATGTAGAGAAGATTGAAATTAGGGATAATACCTGGTCGGATCATAGCATTAATATCTGGACTATGAGAGATCAGTGGAATAATACAAACAAAGCTACATGGAGATTAAAAGATTATCTACTCCATAATAAATCAAATCTAGACTCTCTTAGATCCCAGATGGAACGCTATTTTGAAATTAACATGCCCAACGAAACCTCATATTCTAACAACTGGCTTTTAAAGCTACCATGAGAGGCAACTTAATAAGCTTAGAAGCACACTTAAATAGGAATAAAAGTCTGGACTTATTCCCTCTTTATAATAATCTAGCTGAAAAAGTGAAAAAGAATAAGATGAATCCTTCTCAAGTTAATTCAGAAGCGATTAAGACGATTAAAGACCAAATTAATCAAATCAACATAGAAAAGAACATAAAAATTCTGGCAAAGCTTAAGTTAAAAGAATATAGTATAGGGAATAGAGCAGACAAACTCCTAACTAAGAAGCTTAGAGACAAAAGGGTCTCAAGTAGAATAACAAAAATAAATATGAACAGTAAGATCCATATTTCTCCCACATCTATAGGGAAATGTTTTAATACATATTATAGCGGCTTCTATTCCCTCGTAACAAAATAAAAAGATATAGATAAATATCTAGAGGCTATTGACCTTCCAATAATATCGGACTCTCAAAAAACACTTCTTAATTCTCAGATAACGATCCTAGAGGTGGAGGAAGCTATTAAAAAATTGAAAAATAATAAAACCCCAGGTCCTGATGGGTTTTCAAAGATATTTTATAAAGCTTTTGGCGATCTCCTCAAAAAACAACTAGCAGATTTATTTAACAGTATAGTAGAAATAGGTCAATTCCCCAAAGAAATGTTAAGAGCAAATATAACACCAATACTGAAGCAGAATAAAGATCCAACTCAGATGGAAAGTTATAGACCTATTTCTCTTATAAATACTGATGTCCAGATTTTTGCTGCTATAATAGCAAATAGGATGAAAACCATACTACCTGATATAATAGACCCTGATCAAATAGGTTTTGTACCAGGTAGAATCTCCTCTGATAACACCAGATGTATCATTGACATTATAGACATGGCTAATAGAACAAAAAAAAAACCTTTCTATAGTAACGGTGGACGCTGAGAAAGCGTTTGATAGAGTGGATTGGGTTTTTATGAGCAAAACCCTGAAAAAATTTGGATTTCATGGTTGGATCCATCGGGCAATAATGTCTCTATATACCGGTCCTTCAGCGAGGACAGTGGGCTCTAACATCTGCGCTGACTGGTTTAATTTGTATAATGGAACAAGACATATAATGTCCCCTATTCTCTACATAATTACTATGGAAATCTTGGCTAATAAAATAAGATCTAACCAACAAATAAGAGGGATTACTATCAAACATAGAGAGTTGAAATTGAAACTGTACGCTGATGATCTAATTTTGACCCTTACCGATCCTATTAAATCTATCAAGGCTTTTATGGAGGTAGCAAAGGAATATAGCGAAATTTCAAACTATAAATTAAACGAAGATAAAACAACCATATTAGATATTAACTTAAATACAGCTACTAGGACCCATCTACAAGATTTCTATAACTTTAAATGGGCCAAAAATAGTATCCCATATCTCGGGATATTTTTGACAAGTAATCCCTCAGAATTAATGCAGACTAATTTTCTGAGCAACTTTAGGGACATGTCTAAAGCTTTGAACAGATGGAAAAAAAATAGAAATTTCTTGGTGGGGTAGAATGAATTTAATAAAGGCATATCTCTTCCCCAAGTGGGTATATATGTTCCGAATGCTTCCTATAAGAATACCTAGACCATGGCTTGACATGATTCAAAACTCGGTCACTAATTTCATTTGGAAAAACAAGAGACCTAGAATAAATAAAATACTCCTGGCACAGAAAATTAAAGAAGGAGGCTTGGGTTTTCCGACCATTAACGATATATATCTGGCAAATGAGTTCTTCCATATTTATCGAACTCAGTTGGAAAGTGTTAAGAATGAGGGGTGGTATATCCTAGAAAGGGAGATATGCCAAGTCCAAGACCTAAGTTCCTTACTCCAGTATAGTTCTGCTGACCCTAAAGTTTGACTTATAAGAAAATCTAATATATGTATAGATTCAATACTAGAAATTTGGCAGATTATAAAAAGGAAGTGCAATATAGAAACCAAAATCCCTTTAACTCTTAAAATTAAATTAATACCATATTACGTAACAGACTTGAACTTAAAGAGTTGGATTTCTAGTGGTATCGGAATTTACTGGAAACATTATATAAAGTAATAAATAGATGGTATCTTGTCCCTACCAGACTAGCCAATATGTATAGCTCGACTTCACCACTATGTTGGAGATGTAAACAACAGCTGGGCTCTTTTATACACATTTGGTGGGAATGTGAGATAGTCAGAAACTTTTGGCAAGAAAGTTTTGTTACTCTTGAAAAATTGATTTATACGCCTATTCCTAAATTTCCAGAAAATGCTATTTTACATCTAAATATTGATTCCTTATCGCAGAAGGATTTGATTATCTATATTCACTTTATGATAGCAGTAAAGATAATAATAGCTAGGAATTGGAAAAATTCACTACCCTTTTCTTTAGATAAACTCCTATTTCAGGTTAAGTTCCAATTAGGAATGGAATCCCAACTAGACAAGCTATATGGTAAAGATCTGAAAACTAAAGACTATAGCACCTTTTGGCTAGAAAACTTATAAAGTGAATATGGTGATTATGGTTTTCCCTGAGCGATAGAATGTCCAGGTCACACCAAAAGACTTAAGGATGGAAAATTTGTATACGACTCTAATGTGACTCTGGAATTATGTGACCAACTTATAGATCTCCCCTTGCTCTCCATTTGGCATGAAAGTTGATGTTTTTGTATGTATATACTATGCAATGACCCTTTGTATGATC